GGTGTCCAAATCAACAAATACAGTAATCCACCACGAATAGTCCTGTAGTCCACCAATTACATTTAGTTGTTATGTAGCAGAATTGAGATGCAACCTGGTGCAATAGTTGTGTTTACATCCTAAATAAAGTGAAATAGTTTTCTGAAAGCTAAATATTGAGGTTCTTCTTAAAAATCTGTAAAAAATATACAAATAAATTTGATATGGCAAAATTTAATTTAAAAAATGAAAAATAATGAAGACAGTAAATTTAGTAAGTTCAGAATTTAATTCTAGTACAGAAAATTCTTCATAACTCACTGAATACACATTATTGTTTGAACAAAAAAATATTGACAGTATCAACCATTTGCTTTTAAATTCTCATTTGCATCAAATAAAAAATCAATACCATCAAGAAAATTTTTAAGAAAACACAAAAATTCTAATATTATTATTAAAAGAATTATAAATATATTATTACAACTGATTAAATGGAGATACTTGCATAAATAATTAAACGTAGATTGTGTTTAAATCAATTACCATGCATACATATGTATTTTTAATATGATAATTTTTTTAGCTTTATTATATTTTTGGAAATATATTTTGTAAAAGTTATTCCCTTGGGATTATTTTCATGTATGAGGGATGTCAAAAACTGAGGTTACAAAGCGAGGTCCGGGCTGTAGGGAGGGTGATCGATGATGTCCCAGAGAAACTGCTTCAACAGTGTGGTGGTCTTCTGGGCTGCATGAGAATCTCGCTCTAAGTGACTTTCACCTGTTTCCTCACTTGAAGGAGAACTTAGCAGGACGACGATTTGCTTCAGGCTAGGAAGTGAAACACTTTGCAACAATTTGGCTGAACACACAAAAACAGGATTTTTACCAGGAGGGAATTTTCAAACTCATCACATGAAGTGACAAGTGCCTGAACCGATATGGAGACTATGTCGAAAAATAACCTAATGTATGTACTATCAGTTGGCTGTATTGGTTGTATGAAATAAAATGTACACTTTTCACTGCAGGCTTTGTAACCTTAGTTTTTGATCATCCCTTGTATCTATTATAAGGATAGTTTAGTGAAATAACATTTAGAATGTTAAGTACTATTTTTTCTTGAAATTGATTTTTTTGTAAAGACTGTTCCTCTTCTAATATGAAAATTATAGTAATTAATTAAATGTTTATTATTTAAATATTTTGAATATACACATATTTAAATGTGTGTATATTCAAAATATTTACAATCTTAAGAATAATTTATATTGTATGCTTAACATTCATGAGAATATACATTAGAAACAAATAACTTTTATTTATTAATTAAATATCTTTCTTTAAAAATATACATTTATTTTAAAGTTTTGTCATGTAATTAGTCAAGAATACAACACTCAAATTTAAAAATATTCAAAAAAATACATGTTGTAAGTAAATCCTGTTTAACTATATTTATTTTAATATTTATAGAAGCACATACTCATCAATCATATGATTTTTCTTTTGGTTTTTCTTATACTTAAAGTATTTTTTTAAAAATCTGATTTTCTTTTTTAATTTAGATAATTGTATATTCATGACATATTTTTCCAAGGTTTCAATAATTTTTGTATTCCAAACTTAATTATATTTTCACGTTACATTAAATTATTTATTATTCTACATATTTACTGACCTTGGGATGAATTAGTTGGTTTGTTGTTAAAATTGTTAATTTTACTTTTAGACAAATAAATTTTTTTATTTTTCTTTCAATTTGAATTTGAATAATAATTTTATGATGAATTTAATGAATGTGATTGAATAATTTGAATTCAATTTTATTTGTTAAATAAGATTGAATTTCTGAATGAAGAGCTTATATTCTTTTACATTTCATTGTCTTTGAATATAATTAATAGTTGATTGAGCTTTAATAAATGCAATTCTATGAACTAGTGATATATATTTACCATATATCTTGGTGGATAAGACGACTTTCAGATAAGACGAGGTATAAATTTTTTTCAAAGTTTTATAGTTTTAGCATATATCTGTTCTATAAGATGACCCCCCAAACTATCAACGGCCTATAAATTTAGTTTAAATCAGCAATCATCATCTGAATAATAATACTGTATAGCATATATGGAATTATGTCCTATTTGTAATTTTTCGAATGAACAAATTTTATTTTCTTGCATCTGGCAGCACTGCCTTGCAATTGTTGCAAACATTGGCACTGATTCGGCATTCGGGTAATGACCTTCAGATAATTGACTATTCACAAAAACGTCGTATGGGCTATTCTATTTTGTGCGCATACCCTAATCTCTTCTAGTAAATAATTACGGTTTGTCTGTCTTTTTATAATGGTTTTAATTTATATAAATTTCAGTCTAATTTTTTTTATATCTGTCCTATAAGACAACCCCGGATTTTGGGGGCCTTTTTTTATGATTCATCTATCGTCTTATCTGCCGAGATATATGGTATTTACAACAAACAATAATGGTAAAATAAAAGTGAAAAACAAAGATAAATTTTTATATCATTAAAGAAAAATTGAAAAAATTTTACTAATAAAAAATTATAAATTACAAAATTGTATTAAAATGTATTTTGAAACTATTAATATGTTTTAATTTTTGGAATATTTAATGTTTAGGGATTGACGAATTTTAAATCTTTGAAAATAATAAGTTATGTAAAATTTTTGTTAAGAAAATAGTAAATAAATGGAATATGTAGTAAAAGATAAGATGATAAATAGAATAATAAATAATTTTGTTTTCAAGAAAATTTTAAAATTTAAATATTATTGTATTTTAAAATATAAATTAAATTGCAATGAAAAGTGAACATATATGATTTTTATTATAATAAATGTGAAAGGTTTTTCTACTGTGGCATTAATTTTAAGTTAACTGGTCAGCTGTACAATAAATTCATTAAGATTTTAATCATTTATTTTCAACTTTTCAAATTAGCTATGATAAAAGTTTCAATGTCATAAAAAGATTTTACATATTATTTCATCAGATCTTAAATAAATCATTTATTTTTCCTATTTTTTTAAAGTAATAATTGTTAACATTAACTTTTTGAAGTCTGTTTGTTTATATTGAATATATATTCAACATTTGTATTTTATCTTCAGTTATAGAACAAAAATCTGGATTGTATTTAAATTCTTAAAATATTCAAGAGTTATTTTAAACTTATAAATAAATACAAAATAAGGATATATAGTAGTTATAACAAAGGATAGCAAACATCAAGTTAAAATAAACAAAATGAATTATGAAACTAGTGATTTAATTATATCTGAAATTATGTTAGATTGATACAATGGCTTTAGTAGAAGAAAATTTCTTACTTCTTTGTTTTCATGATAGTATATTAATGTTATAATATTAATACTATGTACTATTGTAATAGTATATAATAATAGAGTAATATAATCTATAATATATTTATTAATATATTAATAATATGCACTGAATATGAGAAATAGTTTCTCATGTCTAGTATATTTACACACAAAATTATTTCTCAGCTTTTCAGAAAATATGCAAGATAAAAAGAATTCTATTTTATTCATGTTTAAACCTGTAAATGTTTAAACATGAATAAAATAGTTATGTTTTGCATTATTATACTAGGAAACAGGAGAATGTAATTTTATTTTTGAAGTTGATTCTGGTTAATGTATATTTATCTAAAATCAAAATTAAAATCTATTAGATCTTTTAGTAAAAATAAAAACAAGCATAAATGTATAATGTATGCATTTATAGTATTAAAATTTATTATTGTTTTCATAATTGTAAGTTCTTTTATATTATTCACAAACAATATTCAGAACAATCAAAAGAGATAAAAATCAAATCAAAACTGCATGATGTAGATGTCAAGAATTGTTTGTTAATTAAATTTGTTGAGGATTTTTATATTTATACATGAATTTTTAATTTGATTGTAAGGTATTTATTGTTTAAAAAATTTATAAAGTTTTCTATTTGAAAAAGAATAGAATATTTGCATTACAAATACAGTGTAATTATTTGTGATGCAATTAAATAAATACATTCAAACAGCTTGAATAGGCCATGTTTCTTTATGCAGTGCTCGAGAAGTGCTTTACAGTGAACACTCTAAAACCCATTTCTAAATGCAGTGTTGCAATGTAGCGAACCATTTCTAAACATTTGCTGCAAGAAGTCGCTGCAGCAAAGACAAAGCAGCTTTTATGTCTGCTACATGTGTAAAGCAAAATGGACACTTGTGTGTATAATACGATATTATGCTGTAAAAATAAAAAAGTCACAGTGACTGTTGATTAAAATATTATGGAAAGATTAAGAAGGATTAAATTTTGTAAAACGACTCTGAAAGTTATCTAAAGAATAAGAAAAAATTATATTTTAAATATAATTATATATCTTCTATCTCTTTACTTTGTTCACATTTTTGGAAAGAGAAATGCTCAATTCTTTATATCTATTTAAATATTGTAGTTCTTTACTTTTGGTTTTAACTGGAATTAAAGAATAGGTTATGGCATTATGTTTCGCTCAAGCGAAAAGCATTTCTAAACTATGATGCAGTGACATGTAGCAATAGCTGCTCATGACGTCATTTTCACTAAACTCTCACTGCATAAAGAAATGCAATCATAATTCAATAATTCAAATAACTATTGCAGAACTCCATGCAGGCTGAAATATAGCAAATTAATGGTTACATAAAATAATTTAGCTGAAAATAGATGGTTAAATTATTTAAATGTAGATTTATTTCTAATTATTAAATATAATACAAAATGGTTGCATAACCCCTATCTTTTGATAAAATTACTCTATTTGATCATTAATTAGCTATATTAGAACTGGCATGTATATTTGATAGTTATTTGATTTATAGATAATTTGTATATTATTTAATATATAATAAATCTTTTATTATTAATTCTAAAATAATTACATTAAATTTTTATTCATTTTAACATTTTATAATTTTAATATGTAGGACAACATTTAATTACTGCTGTTGCAGAGAATATGTATAATTTTCATACAACATCATGGAATCTTGGAGATGAATTGAGTTATGTTGAACTGGACATACCAACTATTTCCAATGATAAGATTACTGAATTAGAAGAAGTTTTGAATGAAAAAATTAGAGAAAATATTCCAGTATATGTAAATTTATTTAATCGTGATGCTGCAGAATTAAAAGAAGTTTGTAATTTTTATAATTTTTTTAATATAGTTCTTAATAAGTAATTAACTAATAATATAACTTTTATAACAGTACAATGTATATATATTTATTTCTGGACAGAATACTTGTAATAACAGTTTTTGTAACTCTAGAATACTTTTTATCAATATCCATAAAGAGAAGAGCTCTTACATAACTTAAGTCAATATTTTGATTCTAGTCTTTAAACTCTTCTCTCTTGAAATGTTTTCCATTCTAAATTCAATTTCTATTCTTGTCAACTTCAAATCATTTCAAAAATTTGTGATGCTGTTTTAGTGGCATTGGTCACTGCAAATAGTATATTTATTTTATAAAATGAAAGGAAAAACTTTAAAAATCCAAGTTTATTATAAATATAGAATGCAAATAATTAAAGAATCCCTGTTTAGAATAATCTTTATTTAATAATAACTTCAACTTCATTTTCTTAAATAGAAACTCCATTTTTTATTGCACATTATAATTTTTCCATCAAAATCAAACAAACTTTTATCTAAAACATTTTTTGAAAGATGCACTTATCAGAAGTTATGATCATTTTAAGTTTTACACATCTGCCACATGATAAATGTGTGAATTGTGGCTATCTGTGAAGTTCATTGAATAAAAGGAATAGAAATGCTTAAAAATCATTAGGAAACTATTATTATTTTGTAGAATCAAGATTAACATCATCGCTTTACTACAAGATTGATGACTCTAATATTCTGTGGCACTACGAGGGCTGTTCGGAAAGTTCGCGGCCTTGCCTATATGCGGCGCTGCAATCAATTTAATTTTTGGCGGGAATAATTCAGCCATCTTTGCTAAAGATACGATACCAATTTCCGCTTGATTTGTCAAAAAGTTTTGCCACAACAGCTTAGCAGATAGTCAGTGTGCACATACTTTGTCAAAAATGGAGAAGACGGAGACTCGTGCGGTCATAAAATACCTGACGAAAAAAGGGTTGACCCCATCTCAAATCAAAGCTGACATGGATGAAGTTTTAGGAGAGTCTGCTCATTCGTACACCACTGTGAAAAAATGGACTGCCCTTTTTAAATCTGACAGAGAAAGTGTGGAAGATGACCCTCGCAGCGGACAGCCGTCAACTGCTGTCACTGAAGAAAACATTGACAAAGTTCACGATTTGGTATTAGCAGATCGCCGTTTGAAAACGTGTGAGATAGCTGAGACAACAGGCATCTCTGTCAACCGAGTGCATCACATCCTAACCGAAGATTTGGGTATGACGAAGGTCTCAGCAAGGTGGGTGCCACATCTGCTGACCGCCGAGCAAAAACGTGTTCGCACTTTGATGTCAAAGGAGTGTTTGGACTTCTACCAGAAAAACCCACAGGATTTCTTGCGTCGGTTTGTGACTACTGACGAAACGT